ATTCAAGTTTTGTGCAAAAACGCATGATCGCACCGGCTCGCCTGGTGCGTTCCAGCCTACGTTGATAATTCTTTCCCCCAAAAGTTGCCCCGATGGAAGCTAAGGAAGAATCTAAAAAAGGATCTAGCCCCACTCTATATTAGTAGGATTTCAGACTATATTTGTGGCCGAGCATTATCATTTTTTTCTTTACCAAAACTTACCACTGCATTATCTAACTAACCTTTTGTTCCAGAAAACAAAAAAAAAAAAACACTTTCTTTTTTGTTTTCACAACATTAAAAAGAAAGTGTTATGTTTCATCACAGTTACCAAAAAGCTATCTCATTGGCGACCTAACAGCTTCGCTCGGCCACAAATATGGTCTGAGATCCTATTAATCTAGAGTAGGGCTAGATCCTTTTTAGTTTGTAGACCGTTCTGTTTTCACGCTTCACAACTATGCTATAGGTGTATTGGTCCAGCTGATCTCACATTCGCTACTGACAAGCAATTTTTGAAGTTGGCGTGCTTGAGTAAATTTTGCAAATCTGCTTCGAAACAAATTGTTTAAAAGAATTTGAAGAATTAAAATTGTTTAAAGAATTCGGCAGATAAATTTTGATTTATTCGATAACACTAGTTGCTTCCACATAAATTATTTAGTTATGAATCATTCGGAATTTTCTACAGCTCTGTTTGTTTCGCCTTCGCACGTTTTGTGGACTTGCTAGACTTGTCACGTGGTCCGATTTCATCTTTTTCCAATTCTTCTTCAATTTCTTTTATTGCTTCTTTCATTTTCTTGACCAACCATTTGTATCGTGGAGTGGTGTGCCGATTTACTGTCATTAGGTATGTATTGATAGCGTAAAACTGTCGTGGGGTTCGTCGCAGGAGAATATGCGCCGGACAATGGATTGTTTTCAAATAGCGTAGAATCTAGAATTCAGCGTAGAATCGGAAAGCAGCGCTTACTCGGAAGTGCCAGAATTACCAAGACTAAGCGGATAATCGATGTTGTTTCTTTATGAAAGGATGCGGCTGTGTCAGGCCCTGTGATTCTGTTGCATGCTTCTCACCACGATGCTTTTTCAACAAATTTTTCAAGGCCACTCGAGTGGTCATTTGCTCTTTCAAAGGCGCCACTCACTA